GAAGTCATTTCTCTTTTGTGCTCACCAGAATAGTATCTTGCTTCCTGATTTCAGGTGGTGCCCTTGAGTGTTTATCCTCTACTTGATGTTAGATTTCTGCAATTATTTATAATTACTGTAAATAATTCAAATGCAATTATAGTAATTGTATGATTCCTAAGTACAATATATAAAGAGAATACATACAATAAGAGAAGCAATTAATCACTGAGAGTTCACAACAAAATCCCTTCTGGTGCTTAGATGAAACTCCACACACTTTCAACAGGCAGAAGTTAAATTCCCTAAATGGTCACCAACCAACCTACTTCCTTTTACCCTTAGGGTCTTCAGCTGTGATATAACTATGCGCTCTTTGACAGCAGCAGTATTCACAAATCATCTCCTCATCAAACTGCCATTAATCTTGTTCATTTTCTCCAGACTGAAACTGTTGCAATCTGATCCTAAGCACATGCAGTGTGTCTGCATTTACCTGTGTGCCAATCTGATCATACAGGCAGTTGAGTCAGTACCTCTCAAGTGCAAACATTGTCATTGCACCTACAGACTACATCTATTTTTACTGAGTAAATGTGGCTCGAACTCCTGGAAACCCTTCCTCATCCTCCTCTTGTTTTGTTCACCCAATACAGAACCTGTTTTTCAGCTCCTGGGCAACCTTAGTAATGCTTACAGATGCATAGAAGGGAGAGGAGGTACTAGCAAGAAAGCATACACCAGCAGTGCCAGACTGGAAGGTCTGAGAAGAGGAAGTGTTTATACTTCATTTCAAAAACATCTCCCACACCATGGACATGCAGAATACAGAAAGGACAGAAAAATCATTTTCCCCAAAGTGCCTGGTTTCCCAAACACAAGTGGGTGGCTGATGCAGAAGTTGGATTTGCAAATCCTTCAGGGCAGGCTAAGAGCCAAAGGAAAGATAATGGAGCCAGATGTGGCCCGTGGGCTGATTGCTGGAAATGGCACCTCCTTCTTTGTCTCAGTCTTTAGTTGCTGTTAAGAAATCCCAAGTTCAGACTGAATTGCATGGAAAACAAGGCATTTCTTGTGGGACAAGTAGTGAGCTAGACACAAGGGCTGTTCCAAGTGCTGTGCATTGCAATGGCAGGGCTGGAAATCCTTTGGAACGGTACGTGTTCTGCTCGGCACTGGCACAGCTGCCCTATGAAAACAAGGAACCCAGCATCTTGTTCAGAACAGTGGTAGTGGATGCAGCCAAGCAGCAGTTCCTAAATCTCGCATTTCACCTTTTCTTTTTTCCAAGATTTCTCTACCAAAAGCAAGTGCACGAGGGCTCTTTCTCACTCAGATTATTGGGCTGATTTATTTTCAGTCCATATCTCTGGAAATAAGCAAAAGGACCACCCTGTTATTCTGTTCTTGGATTTCTGCATGCCCCAGGAGAAGCTCAGGCATTTCGGCACAGAAGCAGCATTTTACTTCTCTGCTTTGCTCTTTCTTTTTAATTCCACTGACTTTGTGCCCCTTCTTTTATCCCAAAGATTCTGAGTTTCCCTTAAGCAGGCTCGGTAAAGAAGCAGTAATGATAACCTGGGTTGACAAGATCTCTCCCAATACAGTCCACTGTGTCTGAATACAAACAGAGAAATGCCTGTTGGCTGAACTACGAGAAAGAAGTTTTTGGTTTTTTTTTTTAATCTGGCATCCAATTTGTTTTGCTGATCTCAGGAAGTTATTCTCCACCTACTCAGTTCTGTGTTTTTTTAAATATGGAGGATGATAGGAACAAAAAGATGATATTGCCAGATGAGAGATTTCCAAATCAATAGAATCAAGTGCTCTGCTGATTTTTTTCTTGTTGTCGCTCAGGGAAAGCTACGTGCTTGGATTTAGCACGAAAATGAGCGAGTTTTCACTCATTTCACTCACAAAGCAGTTTCAGCTCCTACACTAAAAGCCATTTCATAACAGTTCAACAATAAAAACAATAACAATGAAAATCTTAGCATTTTCAAAGTCTGCAAAAACTTAAAGTAGCAAGTGATTAGTGTCCAACTGGGAGCACATCTCTCTTCAGCTAGACCATCCCTATATTCATGCATATAGCATGATATATCAAGCAAGCACAATTTAGATACTACTAATATTTTAATACTCATACTCCTAATAGAAGCCCTACTATAAGTTGTTTATTTTGCTGTATGAAAGATATTCTGTTCATTCAAAACCCTCTTTAAACATGATTTTAACCCTGACTAAACCAAATTTCACAAAACAATGTACATCTCGGTGAGGCTTCCCAAAATTGCCCCCAAGCTAAACTTGGCCCAAAACCTCCTCTCAGAGGAAGGGAAATCAAGCAATTAGGAGAAAGACGTTTGGTGTAACTTCTAACTCATTATAAAGTGAGTTCACTCAGTGCTGTAACATTGCCTGGTAACTTACTACCTCTGCAAACATATGCAATTCTGCAGTTGCAAAACTGGGAACATAATTAAAGTATAAATAGCTGAAGAATATTAGGATGTCAAAGAGAGGGGAAGATGATTCAGTGCTTGACCTAGCTTTTGGTATCCTTTCTCTTCTTTTGCTATTGCTAACTCTCTAAAGCCCTCATCTGGCCTTCTACTTGTGGCTCCTCAGTTTATGAGATTATCATCAGTCTAATTAGCACTACATTCCACAGCTCACTTTTCCAGAAAGCTAAAAGCTGTGCCCCCAGGATAGCTGCTCTGTGTTGCTATTGACAGGATTAGCAGCAGCCAACCTGCACACTGCTACAGAGAAAGGAATAATAAAGCATTAAATTGCCTAGAATCAAGCGTGAGCTACCAGTCATTAATTATCAGACACCCCTTTCATTGACTAACTTTCCAAAAGTTAACTCAGCAGATATAGTAAATGGAATTGGAAACAGCCAGATCTGGGTTAGGTAGTGGGTGGGGATTTTGTTTTCTTCTGTTCTGTCTTTTCTTACAGTTACTCTATATTCCTTAAAGACTGAATGCAGCAGGGATCAAGGAAAGCATCTGAGAGGGACAAGGAGATGGAGTTAAGATGGTGCTGGTAAGAGGTACCAGAGAATGGGCCCAACTCCAGGAATAGGGGGGCACAAAGGCTCGGGAGAGCACAGAGGGCTGCAAACACTCTGCAGAAGACAGGCTACAAGTCCCTTGGGCAAGGCATAGAGGACACGGGAGAAAACACAGGAGAAAAAAGACCGGACAAATATAGAAAATAAAGAAAAGACTCACTGCATGTTCTTCTCTGAAGGCAAACTCAAAATACCACAAAACAGTAACAGGATTTTCTACTTCTATCTCTAGAGATGGGGAGAAGATGGAAGGGTAACATCAAACCATCCTAAAATTGGACAGGAGCTGAAAGAAATTTTTGCTGGCTCACAGTTCATCTTCACAAAATTGGAAAAAGTATTCCAGACCATCTCTTCCTTCGGGAGCAGTGCTAGAGAGATGCAGACAAATTATGCTTGCACTGGATCATCATGCACAAACATTCCCTGTGCTGCTATCTGTGACACTCAAAGCATGCAAGCACTTGCACAGAACACCAGAGGAGCAGGAGGCAGAGGATGAAGAATACTCAGACATCCTCAGTCTTGGAGCTATCACGTACACGTCATTTCACAAATATTTGACAGGAGATATTTAATTAGGACTCATGAAACAATGTGATGTTTCCTAAAAAGGGAAACGCATCACTAAGTGGGTACTGATATACTGGGAGACCATTTCAGACCACATATTGAAGTTGCTGGTTAACAGGAGCTGAGTCAAGCAGGCTCCTCAATCTCAGAAGAGCCCTCGGCCCCGGTGACCCCACGCTGCACACGCGCAGGAGGGGACCTGCTCCACTTGGCACCGAGGAAGCCCCGGGCAAAAGCAGTAGGCAAGTGAGCAGGCAGCCAACTGCAGCTGCACAGGGCTTCAGAGCTCCAGACACTGCAGCCTCAATGAACTTGGAGTTAATTAAAACGAAAAGCAATGCCTTTCAACCATCTCAGAGCTTTAATCAGACATACTGAATGATTCAGAGAAAGAGTAAGAGAAAAGATTATTTCTAAAATGTCCTTTTCAGAACCAAGTCAGAGGATGCAGAAGGAAAATGACAATAAGATCAGCTGGTTTTTACCCTGTGAATAAAAAGCAGTGGCCCCAGGGAATTTTTCAGGCATTAAACAAATAATATTCACCCTAGCACTAAGCCAGAAATCCATGGAGCTACTGGCCAGAGCAAATGCACCAATCTGCAAAATTTTGTACAAGCCAAACAAAGGGCTGTTGTTAAGACAGTTAGGACTTAGGGGATGTATATTATCTCTGGGAAAAAAAATCTGCTCAAAAGATGAGGCAGAAAATTACAAGTGAAAAAATAAAACAAGAAAATCTCAAAGTATACAAATACCTAAGAAAGAGGAAAAGCTAAGGATTTTCATAAGAAAATGAAAAGAAGAACATAAAAGATCTTTCAGCTATACTATTGAAAAGAACAAAGAAAAGAAAATCCAATAACGTTAATATAAAGAGAACAGAGTTTAGAGATAGTCTTGCCATGGCTCCAAAGCTAAAATTCTTAAAACAGAGAATTTATGATGATCATGGGATCAAAAGCAGAAGAGCTAATGGGGATACTAGCATGGAAATAATCAAGACAGAGGGAGAAGCAGATTTTCACATGCTCCAATCAAGCTCTACAATGCTGTAGAGCATATTGTTAATTAAACTGAAGATACTGAGGTTCCATTTGAAAAGCAAGAGAAATGCAAGCTGAGGAATGTCAAAGAGGTTAGCACTGGCACAAGAACAAAGGTGAGTAAAGAAACTGCGAATATGACTAAACGGGAAATTAATAGGAACAAGGTTGAAAAGGAAATTAGGAGTGCTTTAACTATCAAGAACAATAAGCCACTGGAATAACTTTTATAGAACTGGGGGAAGGAAAAGGAATTACTTTAAAGGCAGAGTTTAAGGAGTTCATAGAAGAAAAGCATGAGTTTGTTTACAAAGTAAGAGGACAGCATTCAGTGCCCATCCCTATATACCTAGAGATTTTCCTATTGCTACAGAAACATTCTAGAAAAAGAAAAAAAAACAAAAACACACACACACACACACCAAGAAAACAATAACAACCCTTGAGGACATCATCAGAACAGAGCATTTCTTCAGGAAGATAAGAAGACAGCCTGTATCAGAAACTGTTCCTAAGACTACTCTGCCAAGTTGGGAGAAGAGGCAATCAGTGACGTGCCAGTATAAACCAGTATTTTAAATGAAGAAGGATCCTAAACTGGGACCAATCCTCAAGGAGTCAATACAGGAAGCGCAGCAATGTAGCGCTGCAAATACAGAAGTTGGTGTCATATCCAACTTCTGTATTTGCTATTGCCTTTGACAACTCTATTGCAATTCTCTGCACAGCTGCTTGTTTTTAGAAGACACAAACCTAAAAGGCAGCAGCTCAAGCTCAGCAGAATGTGAGGCTAGAAGAGTAAGACAACAACTTGATGTGCAAAGACTGGAGCTCAGGGCTGCCCGGGAAAGCCGGGGAAGAGGCTGTGGCAAACAGAGCTGTGAGGAAAGGAAGCTCAAGGAAACATTTACCTGTGGGGAGACCTTTTCCCCTCAGCCTGTCCCGAATAGCCTGGCTCCTGTCTGGCTGCAGTTTTCTATCTCCGTTGCAAGAAAGTTGATCCACCTGCAAAACAGGCAGGAACACCAAGTAAAACATTAAAAGAGCTCACACTAGTGTGGAAAACACAGGTTAGTACCAAAAATTTCAGTACAAAAGTCACACTTTCAGTACAAAAGTCACACTGGAAATTCTTTTTTTCTTTTTTTTTTTTTTAAATAAAAACGGGGGTGAGGGTGAAGAGAATTATCTATGAGAATTTCTACTAGAATTATTCACACTTACATTACCAATACAACATTTTTCAGTACACATTTGCTCTAACCTTTTCAAATAAATGTATATGCATATAACAAACACAGCTGCCAACAAACTAGAAAACAACACTGGAAAACTTCCAATGCTCCGTGAACAGAACATGATTGGTCTGACAAGTTTTCCACACACCATAGAAAGCTATATTGTATGTGATAGTTTCAGACGGATAACTCACACAACTCATTATGCCTGTAATAGTTTATGCATTTTTAGGAAGTCTTTTCTTTAGTCTCTCAGGAACAGCCTTTTTTTTTTGTATTAGGTATTACTACAATCATTAGTAAATTTTTGTTATTTTTTTTTTAAATCAGTCCAAGTGATAAGCATAACTTTGGCACTGGAGAACCACCACTAGTTCTGCCCTCTCATGATTGAGGTGGTATAGAAGACATCAGTCCCTGGATTCGGTGTTCATCTAGACTTCAGAGTACACAGCTGGGCTGCTACTACGGTGTCTAACTTCATCTGTCTCACTAACCTCAGACTGCTTTTGAAAGCCTGCTAACAAGGACAAGGTGAGAAAAAGCAGCAAGTTTGCTAAGCAGGCAAGACCAGCAATAATATGGAGTCTACCGACTACCACACTGGCCTAAAGGCCTAAATCAGGATCTGTATTATTATTATTAATTTTAAAACATTTATAGGCCTCTATTTTACAGAATCAGAGGGTAGTTCCTTTTCTGCATTTGCGAAAAGTCAAAGTATTGCAGTTAGAACTTCATTGCCTGTCAGTGTGAGCTTCTGATTTGTATTAGACCAATACAGAAACCTTTATATTTGTATAGGAACTTTCAAAAAATATTTAGGAAGAATCTCTTTGACAATTAAGCAGTCCTGAGTTCATCTTCCTTTTTTTTTTTTTTCCCCTCCCCTCCTTCTTACTTTTTCTTCCACTGAAGACAACCACTGCTGAAAATGACCTTCCTCAGCAAGAGCAAATGTAAAAGACCCCAGGAAGAACCATGAAGTGTCCAAATTCTCAGCAGTGCAAAAGAAGCAATTCCTCCTCTTCCAATTTCAGAATTTTTCCTTTTAATACTCCCCCTTTATCAAATAGCAATCAACAAAAACAAGAGGAAGAATGACTGAAAAGTGACCCAGAATAAGCACCTTTGCTCTGTTCCTGCTCATCAGCCTTACTGCTCAACTGCTTTTAAACACTTACCCCAGAGAGGCTTCCCAGAACAAGTCTGACCAACTGTTTCACGTATGAGAAAGAAGGAGCACAGTTACTGTTCCTTATGTGGGCACTGCAAGCATCCAAGACGGTCCGCACGGATACGCGGGCATAAATGACGTCTTCGCACATGCCGAGGAGGATGCTGTTGAGATGATCTCCAAGTTTGATAGGCTAATTGGAAACAAAAAATGGAAGGAGGGGGAGAATCAGTGCTAACAGTGATGAGAAGTACACAGAAATAAATAAATAAAAAAATCCTCAGCACTGCATATTAAGAAGAGCGATCTGCCCTATGAGGAGAGGCTGGGGGGGCCGGGCCTGTTCCGCCTGGAGAAGAGAAGGCTGAGAGGGGCTCTAATCAGTGTATATAAATACCTCAAGGGAGGGAGTGCAGAGGACGGGGATGGTCTCTTTTCAGTGGTGGCCACTGATAGGACTAGAGGAAATGGCCGGAAACTGAAGCACCAAAAGTTCCACAGGAACTTAAGGAAAAATTTCTTAACAGTGAGGGTGACAGAGCACTGGAACAGGCTGCCCAGAGAGGTTGTGGAGTCTCCCTCTCTGGAGATCTTCAAACCCGCTTGGACGCAGTCCTGTGCCACGTGCTCTAGGTGTCCCTGCGTATGCAGGGGGGTTGGACTAGGTGACCTCTATAGGTCCCTTCCAACCCTAAGCATTCTATGATTCTATGATTCTATGATTTCTTAGACTTACAGTCTACATCACTTGAGTGCTTACATGAAAGCCATCTTCTCAGTGCTGGAAAAACCATTACACCTTCATATTTATTACAATCCCTGTGACAAACTTCTACCTGCAAGGCTTTTTTTTCTTTTTTTTTCCCCCTCTCTTTTTTTCCTCTATTTCCTCTCTTTTTATTTCCTGTGTTATCAAAAATCAACACAGAAGTAAGGATTAAAGTGGCAAAAAGATTTGTTAAGGAAACAAAGCCTTGTATTACATAGGACATCCTCTGTGCATTTGAAATGATCTAGGTTTAAGTAGCACCACTGATGAGATGAATATTTAAAAAATAAATTTACTGGAAAGCTTCCTTTTAGCATGTTTAGTGAGTGCCAGTCTCCTTCACATGCACAAAAATGTAGCCACAAGAGGAATGGTCCTCTCTTTCGAGCTGACAAGATGAACAACTGCGTGCTGGAAGATTTTAGTGGAATCAAATCTTTCTGAATTAGATCATCTGTTATAAGTGATACATGATCAAAACCTCTGCAGCATTTTCATCATGCCCTTCAGACCAAACCAAAAAGCCCGAACAATCAGCACACCACAAGAAAAAGCCCCAAGCACAGGAAAGACTCGGTGCTCTTCAGGTCCCAGAATGATACTTTGCCTTAGTGAGACCAATGTGGCACAGGCCACACAAGCTAGTCTGAAGCTCTAACACTAAACAAATCAAAACTTACTTGGCTTTGAGGAACTTCATGGTCAGCTCCCCAAAAAAGCGTCATACCAAGGGAATAAATATGGATCTGTAATAAAGCACAGGATGTTTGTCAGCTCACTGAACTAACTCCACATCATTTTGCCTATATATATTCTCAGCGTTTAATCCGAACGGGTCTTCTCTTTCAGATTCTTCTCCTTTGTCACAACAGAGCAGCAAATCCCGAGACAAAAAGTAGTGCATATAAGCACTCTCTAATTTCTCTGCCTCTAATTAATCTGCTCAATTTTAAGTTTTCATCTCCAGTTAAAGCCAGGCACACATGTAATGCAGCTGATCCACCTTGCATTGAGCCCAGATTGCAAAGCTCCTTCAAACTTCAGTCCAAAGGTAAGGCAGAGCTTAGTAGCACTCAAACACTGAGCTGCACTGGCAAGAGATTCCTTAGACTGGGGTCAAAGGGAAATAAGGCAATGAACATTAAAAAGACAGATGCATAGTATGAAGCAGTCACTTTAATATATCATCAGCATTTTAAGATACACATACATTAAACATTACGTGTATAATTAACAATTAATGTCAACATGAAAGATATGCTCTGTCCAGGCCTAGGTCCTTTGTATCCAGCTTTTAAAGCTGTGCATAAAGTGGGTGTACAAAGGTAGTGATGAACTCAACAAAACCTGTGAAATGGAGACAAATTCTTCTCCCTATAGAATGTATACATAATTGCTAAAGATGAAAACGAGATAAAATTCATCACTCTAGTGAAAATTTCACCGAAGACAAGAAGATATATTCTAGAAGAGGAAAAAAAAAAAAAAGATAAAGCATAAACACTTGTGTTTTTAGACCAGATTGCATGGATGACATTGTAATACATGACACCACCCACACTAGCCTGTTCACCCCATCAGCTTTGTCTGGGCTTTGCGCAGCGTTAAATCAAGCTCCAGTTGTATGAGATGATGTCACATGCAAAAACTAGGCAAAAACCATCTATACAGAAGCTGTGTAGATAACAGCCAGGAATTTAGCTGGTCTCAAACTATGTCACTAATCAGTGCTTTGGTACAGTACAATGCAACACACACACACACACACCTCTCACGTTTCTACTCTTTTCTCTCTCCAGATGAGGTTGAGCATCATCTCCGATTCAAGCAGCAGCAATTGCCACCTCTCACGACTTGGACCATTTGTTAAAAAAATTTTAGTCCACTTGTCAGTTCCCCAATACAGAAATCAACATCAAATTCATTTCTGGAGCTCCAAATATTTGCTTACTGTATTGCCAATAAGCTTTTAATTACATTAGACTTGTTCTGTATTGCAGTTGCCTAAAAGTCATGGAATCAAATGGCCATTCACTGACTATTATTTTGTCTAATGTTTTTCACTGAATACACTATTTCTTTGGGTTAAGGGGGAAAAAAAAAGTCATAATTCAGAGAAAAATACAACCCTGTCATTGCCTGGTGAGAGGCTCTAACAAGTAGGAATCTGTTCTGCTTTCAACAGCTTCCAGACATGGTCTGATTCCAGAACCAGAGACAAAAAGAAAAACGTCCAAGATTGTCAATGAATGACTTTTATAAACTACAGTGAGATCTAACAAACAAACAAACAAAGTTTAAATGAGGTAAAGCTTAATGTAATCAGCATGTGCAAAGTAAGACCTAAAAACATGAAGCTCAAATAACCAGTGTACTGTCCTACATCCTACTTAATATAAATGCCAAGGGAAGCAACCAGAAAAAAAGGATATCAATTTATCACAACATTCTTTTTTTCTGCTGCATGCAACCAACCCGCAAAAATCAAGCACTGCTCAACCAAAAAATAGGTTACTAATTTCAAGCTCTAAATCTAAATCTTCAACCTACTGCTAAATACCATAAGTGAAAGGGCTTGATATAGTTGCTATCTGGCTGTATTGCTTTGAATGAACACAATGACGCAGACAAGTGTAATCACCCAGAACGACAACATGCGATCTGGTCACAAATTTACCATTTTCAAACTTTTTTTTTTTTGGGGGGGCACATTTTATATCTTAATTTTAGAGCTGACACTACAGGCAATGTTAACATTTTTAACAGAGTTGTCTGTCCTGACAGAAGGATTGAAATAGCAATTCCAATACAATGACCTCCAAGTCTGGCAACTGCATCCCACTTTAAAGGTCCTGAATCTTTCAGTGATGTCATTGTTATTTTTCATTAGTTCTACTCAAACTTTCATCTGACATCTCCCTGGTTGCTTAGTCCTGTCACAGATCAGATTAGATACATGCTTTCATTTATGATGAATTCCTGTTAGGCTGTAGGGTAAAAGAAGATCTAAAGGTCTGTGAACTCAAGCAACAGTTCTTTTCATTAGCTAATTATTTGATATGGTTCCAAAAAATCCTTTATGTACGAGGTTCAGAGCAAAAAAAAAAAAAAAAAAAAAAAGAAACACCAACCTCCTGCATGCACAAAATATTTGACCCACTGAAACGTGTTTTGACAGTCCTCATCCACGTAAGAGCAATCCATGCCCATAGCAGTTTCCTCTGGAGAGGGAGCATGTTGCTCTTCTTCCTGTAGCAGAGCTGCATTTGTTCTCACCTTATGACAAGGCTGGCTTCCTTCTCTAACCAGTATTGATCCAGAGAAGACAAGAAGCTGGAGGTACAGCTCAGTTTCCTTCTTATTCCCACATCTAGATACCTTTGACTAGGCCAAGGGGATAGTTTTCTAGGGAAAGTATTACCATTGGCAACCAAGCATAGGAAAACATTAGAGAAGTTAGTAACTTTGACTGTGCATATCAGTGACCTGGAGCAGATCACATACACAACCTGACCTATGTGAACATCCACCCTTAGGGAAGAAGAGGAGGAAACTGTAAGGGAACGATGTTGCATGCAACTGACAATTCCATACATTAAGTAAAACAAATGAATGTTTTCTTTATGGCCAAGAGGAAATACACCTTTTAAGTCCTGCCTTGCTTAAATAACTGCTCTGTTTAACTCTCTAATTTGTCTCTCTGATGAACTCTCAAATGGTTGATGTTATTGGAGTCTTTGAAAAAAGCAAGGAAGGTTTGCTTGTTACTGGAAGTCACTCGGTGCAGACATTGCCCAAACAGCTGCTACTAGAAAAACATACCAGGGGCAAAAACGTAGGCAGCTCCTCATAGGCACCTGCAACTACAGTCACTCCTCCACTTTTCTGAACACAAGCTCAGTAAGAGCATCCATCCCCTTAACTGTTGAATATTATTTAGACAATTAACTGTTGAAGGCAAATCAACAATTAATGACACAAAACAAAAACTTGGGGGAGATAAAATAATGGTTTAAAGCTACTTTGTAAAATACTTGACAGCCAAATAGCAATAGTCTTCAGCAACAACAAGAGACACGGTACCTTTTCAACATCCGAGAGAGACGATAGCGACTGGTTCTGCAGAACCTCCGGTGCTGTGAACGCTCGCAGGTCTTGCTGGGAAACATTTTCGTCGGTAAAGGAGATGCTGCCAGAAGGGAGTAGCAGCAGAGACCATGGAGAAATGATGAACCCCAGAGTGGTAGGATCTGCTGTGTTTGAAAGGAAAAAGTGACACAACAGTAAAAAGAAAGAAGCGGATGTTACCAAAACACAGAACTCCAGAGAAATGTCTTCAAGGGTTCAGTCAAAAAAGAATGGACTTGAATTCTGACATGTCTTATTTGCAACTTCCAAAACAAAAGAAATGCCAATTAGTTCACCAGAGTTGATCAGTAAAGATGAACATAAGTATCGCTTGTTTTAACTTAGAAAACAAAAATAGTACTTACCTGGACTCTTCTAAACACAAGAATATTTCGTAAAATGATCTTTAAAGATAAAACACATACAATAACTTTTTGGACTTATTTAAAAGTGAGAGGTAGTGGCACAACTACAGCCAATATCACATCTACTTTTTTCTACAATCCAGAACAAACGTAAGCATTTTCAGCACATTCATGTCATCGTGTCAAGGAATCTTCTTTTCATTGAGGCTGCCAATGCAAACTTTTGACACTATGATTTTCAGCTGACTTTTAACACAATCTCTCTACGTGTTTTAAGCGCATTCTAAGACTTCTCGCCATTAACTGGTAGAAGTTACTTACTCAAAGGCATGATTAATATGAGTCTATGTATTACTCCTGGGATAGAGACATACTTTCCTTTTCCACCTGTTCCGCTTCATAACCACAATAGCAATCCCAATTTTAATCACACAATAACACTTGCTTATTTTTGACATTTCTGTGCTTTTCCTCATACCTACAAGGTAATGACGAGCCTGCTAAAGTCTCTCCTTGTCTCTCCTATCCTCAGGTTATCTTATTTTTAAGACAGAATTGCCATCTAAAATGATCACTTTCCTTAGGATGCATACCATTAAGGCTAATCCCTACAGTAAGGCTGGAGTTAATTGCTATGGTCTGTAGCACTGCTGGACCAGCAATGGTCTAAAGACAAAATCTGTGGGGAGAGAAATTACTCCTGTATTAAAGATAGCCGGTAGAACTGGAAAAAAAAACAAAGTTTGGGGGACGAAAAACCCTTTTCAAGCCTAAAGAAAAAGTGAATTCCAAAACGAACAAAAAAGTCTTAGACAGCAGCAGAAGAGGGCAAAGTATAAATTTGCAGTCCGAGTCTGATCTTCCATTCAGTCTATTTTGCAAGGAGACAGTTGCTCTATCATTTTCCTACATTATATATCAAAAACACACGTGAAAAAACACATTTGAAGGATAGGGCTTCCTTTCTCCTCTATACAATAACCAACATCACAGTGCAATAATCATTTCTTGTATCTGCTCTACCACTAAGCACATTTTCCACTCTCCTATCAGCTCAGAATGTTCCTCCAGTGCTGGCTCCCAGGCTGTTCAACTATCTGGTAATCTAGAATTTTCCCACCTCCTAGGAAATGTATTAAGTTACTGCAGGCCGATATCAGCTGTAAAAAGAGCTACCAAGCAAGTCCTTCAATTTCTTTGACTCACCTTCCTCCAAAGGTAGCTAAGGAATTGGTTTTAGACTTTGACAAACTGTGAACCCAAAGCAAAAATATTTTAAAAATTTTTACTCCATTATCAAGAATTATATCCTCAGCTTCTAGTTTCTGAGTCTCAGAGAGTTTCCCCTCCTACCAATGTTTGCAACAAAAATCATTCTATACATATGCCCATAATTCATTTTCCTTCCATTTAATTCAAACATGCACATTACTTGTCCTACTCCTTAACACACTGAAGATAAAGTTCACGCATTCAAGAATCATTTAAAAGACTCAAAGCCAAGAACACCTGGGATGGAGGCTGTTTTGTTGTGCTATGACTCATGTTTCTTCATGACAGTAACTTGCCATAAATCTAAAACAAGTTTGCTAAAATATGTGCAATGGTTTTTAAGAGGCCAGTAGGTTATGCTGAAAGCCAAGGTGATAGGCTTAGCACTCACACGGCACAACTGGTTTTCCCCTGTTCTCCTGCTTTTTATGGCTCAGTCTTCTTGCCTCAGGGGAATGTTTTTCATTGCTCTGGCTTTCTCCTCTGCATCCGAAGGAAATAAGTACTTGCTGCAGAATGTATATCTGATTCTGCAGCCTAAACCTGCCTAAGACTTCATACATAAATGCCAGAGTTCACCATCAAAGCCAAAGCACTCTTGTCACAGACTTAAACAGCTAAACCGGGGGATTTCAGGAGCACAGTTTTTCTGTCATCATCAAACCACGTAAAAGTCTCAGTGAATTTGTTAAAAATCGGGATGATACCTCTGTGGCAGCACATTTAGATGCCAAAAAAAAAAAAAAAAAGCAAAAAGGTGAAAGGCCCCTTCTCATTCTACATGAATAAGAAAATATTACATTCTATAGTAAGGCATTTTTAGCAAGCAAACTTGAGTTGGCCAGAAAATTCCCACAACTATAAGATGCCTATAATCACTGGCTTGTGACTACAGCAGTCCTGTATATATATATATATGTCAGTGATATAAATGTTTTAAAATATTGCAAGATATTGCAATACAACCTTCTACTCAGGATCTTAAGCCAGGACATCCCTAACTTAGCCATTTGTACCACAAACACCTTAAATGCATGAACTCTCTATCATCTGAAACATAGCACATATTGAAGAGATAAATGATAGGTCAGAATGCTATTCAGTTTCCAACAAAAATAAAAACAAGACATTTGGTGTGAGGTCTTGCACTTATGCTCAACACAGCCTGGAGTATGCACGTGGCACCTACAGATGATCTAGATTAAAATATTTCCTACCACACACTACAGTCTTCAGGAACTAATAGCTTGTGCAATATACATTTATGAATGTAAGATTTAAGATTTAAAAAATACTGATTCTTCCAAGCTTGCTTTGTTGACATTTTTTTAGCTTCTACTTTACTGACTTTGAACTAGTATAGCAGATCACACTGCCTACATCACATTTTTCAGAATGCAGTCTACCTTTATAAAGAAGGAGAATAAAACGATTCATTCCCATATTCCTTCCGTAAGAGATCTATCTCAAAGCAAAAAACTCCAAACTCCTCCTATGCAAAATTATTCTAAGAGAATTTTAAGTACTGTTTTTCTCCTTTGTTTGCATCTGTTCCATGGCGAGATAACAAAACGAATCCAATAGCTAGGGAGCAAACTAGAACAACTGATAGAAAATGCCAGATATAATGTTCATATTATCTCCTGTTTCATACTTCCTGAAGAATTTGCAAAAGTGGTGCATTTCCCTCCCCTCCTTTCACCCAAAATACAAGGGAAAATTACAGGGGAAACTGAAGATGCAAATCCCTCTTTCTGAAAGCCCAGGAATTCAGGGTATGGCTCCTGGTCAACTTTATATCCAGGAGGCTTTCAAGGGCCACAGAGCTGCCAGCCTTCTGAGTTCACTCACAAACTATGCAAGCCCGTAACAAAACACTTGTGAGAGCACAGTTTATCCGGCAGCGCCAAGACACAGACAAATAGTGCGGTCTCATTTAAAAGGAGACAGTGAACTGGTTTTAAAGGCAATAAAGAGCTAAAAGATTCGAGAGCTATGTGGAGCCTACCATACAAATAAACACACTTTAAAAACTGCCCTTCACATGGCTTAATGGCCTATAGGTAGTCAAAATCAAAATGTTAAAAGATACTGTAAGTTCAGGTAGCACTTCAAAATTGACCCATTTTACATCTTGACGGTTGTTAATTGGGGATTCCCAAACCTTACCTCCAGTTCAAGCTCCTTCAGTTGAATCTGCTCCTATTTCTCATAGTTATTAGGAAGAGAAGTAACATATGTTTTAGCTCCTTCAGGATGTTGCAGCTCCCCCTTCCCTGGCTTCGTATCTGACACTGGTGACACTGAAGTAACAAACATTTTTCCTAATACAAATGATCCTGAGGTTTTTCTGCTTAGGCCAAATTGGTGGCAGTCAAATCACCTGCACATCCCTTGATAGGCCAAGGTTATGCCAGGGCAAGGGAGCGGTGACGCCCTAACTCCCGTACTCCTAATGGATGCAGCGTGTCCCTGCACCTCCTGTGGGAGTCCCTTAACCTCTCTCTCTGCATCCCAGCTAACTCTACAGTTACCAAGACACACCATTAGTCTCTATCAGACCACCTTACACTTTGTCTTCTTTTCATATTAACTTGAGCTAAGCAGGTGCCACAGTACAAGTCTAGACAAGATTTACTGGTCCCCCCCTCCAAACACATCTTTCTTCACATCTACTTTTAGATTCTATCACTTCTCTTTACACAAATCATTTCCCATCTACGTATTTGTCCAGACTCTCAATCTCTAAAATGGCTCTTTCTTTACCCAGCTGCCTTTTTGTTATGAGAATCTGATTTTGCCCTTCTGTTCCCCCTCCTCCCTTCAAGCACATGGTTTCGCAACACAAGATCAAACTATTTTTAAAACCCATAGCGCAGGAATGGCCTAAGTGACATACAAAGCTTTTCCAACCTTCGTGTTTTGATTATTTTTTTCTAGCTTAGCTTACTAAATTAGAGGAACGCCTGGTTTATTTTTTGGAACAGCAGGGAGCACAGCACGGCTCCTTACACTTATACACTCGTATTCAAGATGCTTCACTTCAAAGACTTGTTTCGTTTGACCTCAGAGAGCACTGAATGCAAGATACAGCAGGTCTGAAAGAGCTGATACACCCTCAAAACAACAAAATAGTTATTGCAGATAATTAAACAGATGCAAGAGAAGGGCAGGTCTGGTATCGGCCTTTTCAAATCTCCAGATTAACCTGAACATCGCTACTCCGACTGATGTCAGGACTGCAACTTCATGAGTACTGAATTGCTTTTCTCCTCCGTTTAACAGCTTACGAAATGCTGACAAGACAGCTCTCAGAGTTGTTTTTCTAAACTAGCGATTAGCAACTGGACATTTCCAGCTTATCTTTTCATTACCGTGTAACGACAGAAATCAATCTGTAAAGAGTTCAACACCTGTGAGAGCAGTAAACATCACCCAGCACAAAACCCCATGTATTTATGGATCAGCCACTGCTTTAGACATCATGTGAGCTGTGATCAACAATTAAGGCATGGTTTTCATTCGGCATTTCTTCTATTCAGTACTTGCACAGATAAACATCTGAGACCTGTACGAAATTTTAGAGCTCGTTAAAATCAAGAAGCCATCAAAATTTCTAAGAGAAGCTTGTGTTGGCCATTTTCCCCTAACTTTATGGAGCTAGTCTAAATGACAAATTAATTGAAGGAAACTTTCTCATTTGATTGAGTGACAGCAAAGCTTCACAATGTCAAACAGATGAGACTACCAAAATTACACCAGGATTAAAAATAAATAAATAGTTACTTGGGTAGGTAATTCACTTAAAAGTGTAGGTCGTGGCTCAAGTGGTGTGGGAAGTTTGCTAATAGACACTATTTTAAGCGATAACAATATTTATAGATTTTTTTAGCCGCATAATTTAAAAAGAGGTGAACTGCATACTGTTACGTACGATTTTTTTAAAAAAAATGCTATAGAAAACACTCAGAATTGTTTCTGCAACTGAACTTGTGTTTTTTCTCAAAATAATTTATCTGGGGACTCAAGAGCTATGTGAAGAGAAGAGCATCTTCAAGAGTGAGCACAGCTGAGCATTTAGCGACCTTTCAGAAGCCCTGAACCTGCGCTGACATCCTCTGCCCACGAGTGGAGTTTTCTGCAGTCCCTCACAGACTAAAAGTCCTCCCCAAAAAGGGACCAACTCGAGTTAGAGAAGGAGGCCCACAGGAACCCCTGGTCCCCGGTTCTGCAGCATATCCTCCCAGGTCAGCACACAAACTGATACTCCAGAACACCAAAAAAGCTTCAGTGAAGTAAGTTTTTATTAAAAAACTGTTTGTCTCTCCTAATTTTGCTGGGAGAAAGTAGATTGCCTTTGTCACCAGCTGTTATATGGAAAAGCACTTATATTTGAATGTCTTTTAAAGTGCATTTTACCACAGGGCTATATCCCATGTTAATTAGTAGCATGTGACTGAAAATAATTTGCTGACCTAGCAGAAAAACAACTCAATAAAACAACTTCAACTTGAACAGGAGATGTATTCTTTTAGCACTGATTTGATCTGCAGATGCCTTTTGGTCTTCACTGACAGAAGATCAGACTCATTTTCTGCTATCTTCCTCAGTCTTCAGATACGCTTTCAAAGTCATCATCGCCAAGTGCCAAGGCAGAGATTCATGTTGTGGATCTCGTCTCCCACTGAAGGAGAGAGCTGCTTACATTCTCATTTTCAGGGCTTGCATGCAGCCTTCACACTCATTATGATAAGATTTTTCTGCACCACTTTGAGGCTAAGGAACAAAGAGCTCATTTTCAGGGCAGACTTTATGCGCATGGTATCTTATGTCTAGATTTTTTTTAAGTAGTTCCACTACTATGCAGTCATACTGCCTTGTCAATGGGCAGATTTCAATATGGAGCTCAAGGTGTTGATTCTGTAATGTATAATCTATAATCATGCAAGATACCTCTTCAGTCAATGCCCAGTTTCTGTTCCAACCAACCAATTAACCTAGAGCTTTGGAGTAAGAAATGACAGCCACAGAGTTTATCAGCATGGTATTGCCCCAAAACATGAGGAACCTCTTAGCACACTACTTTGTATGGCCACGTATAAAGAAGGAAATGAAAAACAAAGGCTTAAAAATTTCACGGATGACTCTATAAAACTACTCTACGTTTGAAAAGAAACAGCATGACTGTATTTGAGGCTCCAAAAACACATGCAGAAGAATATCAATATTTTGAATTTTGTTGTTAAAAGCCTCCACAACCTAATCAACATTACGTGTTAAAGTGACCTTCCTTTAAATGAAGGCACACATCTGCGCTGTGTAAACAGCCAATATTCTGTCACAGTAGCATTGGCAGTGGTTTCTTATTTTTAAGAGTAAAAACATAAGTAAAACTTTTTTTTGCATCATGACAGAGAAATTTTCCTCTGACACTTAGCATCCTAACTCAGCTAAAAACGTGTTTTCTAAAGACACTCTCCAACTGATTCTGCAAATTGACACGCAATTGAAATTAACAGGAAAGCTATCATGAAAATTGTGCCATTTCTGGTAAAATCACGTCGCAGTTCTGTGACAGCTTCCTCCCAAAGCAACATAGGCACTGCATGGGACTGAAGAGGCACACGTGTGCTGTAGTATAAAGGGAGGGTTGAAAGAATCCTGTGGGCTGGAGTTAAGACGATCTATCTACTCTAAAAGATAAGCCAGGAACAAATCAGTACGTGCCTACAAGGAATAATGGAGCTGACTTATTTGACATATAAACCATTTTTTTTCTGGTTCTATTTAAGAAAGTAGCTTACCTTTTCTGAATAACTCCTGAAGGCTTTCTGCACTTTGGTTCAAAATAGCCCATATTTCTTCCTCTTGTAATGGACCCCCCCGAACCTCCAGAGCCTCAGCCAGTGACACATGCATGTTACCTGGAAAACAGAACAGAACTGATTGCAGAATACCTAACAGGTACTTTCTCCTTGCAAGCAGGACATATATAGCAATAACTGATTTTCCAGTCTCAGTCACAAAAACTTCCTAACGTGAGCAGGCAGCAGCAGAAATACACACTACAAAAAATTCATTGCCAGCACAAAGGAACTTAGAGCATTCGCTGTTATGAAGAAAAGCTTTCGGGAACACAAAAAACCCACAACTCACATTCATATTACAAGCTACTAAACCAGTATAGGCAACATGCTGGTTTTTATCCATACATTACGGGCAAGACTTCGCTTTGTTTAAAAATTTGACAGACAGATTAATAGCTTCAGCTGGTTTACGTTAATAAACTTATTAATGTTGCTGTGACAGATATATAAGCAAGGCCAGCTGCTATGAGGCAAAGCAGGTCTCCTCCTCCTGCTACATTTCTTTATCATCTCACAACCAAACAACAAGATGCAGTGCCTTCAAACAAGATGGCCAATTCTAAACTAAACAAATTTATATCTGTTCAGGTCAGCATTTTCAAGCCTAAAAGAAGAACAAAACCAGTCAGCAATGCTATCTGTGTTATATTCCTAGGGAAAAAAGAGAAACAAAATTCTTTTCCCAGGTAAGAGTTCGAGGCTTGACATCTTACAGTAAGTTAAATCCTTTCTTTCACCATACCACAATATGGTGTCCAGCTGTTCAAAAACACAAAACACGAAAAATTTGGAAAACAGAAGAACACCTCCCCAGACATTCCCATTAAGTCAAAGATTCCATCCCCTGCCTTCTATAAGATGCAAAAATCACAACTTCTAACCACCAGAGCATCGCTGTCAGCACACAGTGCTGGCCCACATGCACAGTCAGGGAAATTAACCCCATAATTGGAATGGAAAACAGGCTGACTAGCTACCTTTAGTGTCTCAGCTGTCTGTAAAGCTTCAGATTTGCTGTGTGTTTTCATCTTCAGCAAGCCAGCCTCATATGCATATCATTATGTGCAACCAGAAAAAGAAGGAAAAGGCTGAATTTCTCCTAATTTCTATCCAAAAATTAGTACTACCTAAAGCCTTTGTCAGCTAGAAAGCTACACTTCACTGCTATTGAAAATTACACATCGTTGGCTGCATTTCATTGCTTATTTTTCCTTACTTTACATCTTTCCAGTTTCTAGTACTCCATTACATGGTATATTTACTGAGCCTGATATATTTTCTCCTATTGCTGCTAAAAAGTCACTAGATGAAGTGATAAGGGAAAATATTTTAAGGAAGGATGAAATCTGAAACTCTAAACAGAAAAATGTCTATATCTTTCAAAAGAGAAAAAAAAAGAGGGACCACTATAGACGTGCAGTCAATGGAACGGAAAGCCAGGACTAAGCCTCTCCATAGTCATTCTACATTTCACATACAGTCCTCACCAGGGAATTTTGTGATGTCATGGAACTGCCTTATATTTCAGTACCTAAGCCTAGAATCAAACTGGGTTATGCAGTTTAAGAGACAGTCTTTTTCTAAGGGCTAAAAACACATATATCTCAGCAAAAAACCTGCATGTGCTAAGTATCATAACAGAAGTAGACCGAACACTACAGCAGCAATAAAAACAAAAATCCTCCTCTGCTACTCTCTTTTTCCCCATCCTGAAAACCCTGACATCTTTCAGCTGTGATTAAACACGACCGCATGGGCTGTTCTGTAGCAGATACAGCCTATCACCTATTTAACACCATTACAGAGGTCACCAGCATGTCTCTTCAATCTCCTGATATATTGCCTCAACATATGGGAATGCCACAGAAGACAACTTCTCCATTACAGAGTATGTGAATCTCCAACAGGACAGGCAGCAGTTACAGCTGTGTCACCCCAAAGATCTGCCTGAGGAATTACCCAGAGCAAGAAGGGGAAGCACTGGCCGGCCAGCGCGTGCCTTGAGTTCTGCAAGTGTACAGCCCACCTGGTAAGGGCCGGGCTGTGATAACTCAAAGTAAAGCTGATGGTTTCGGACTCACAGCCCATGTGTTCCCCTTGCAATGGGCATCTTCATTCCAGTGCCCCTTCCTGCCTCTGCCTGTGTCACTCCAGAAGATCTTCCTGTTTTTCTGCGGCCCTGTCATACTGAAGTTTTGCTCTAGCACCATCTGTGCCCTTTTCTTTTTCAGTCCCTCTTGCAGGACTCCTATTTTGTCTACTTGTTGTTATTCCCGAAGGCTTGAAACTTTGCAGCTGTTCATAGTATAACACAACAAAAGCAAAAACTTATGCAGGTTATTTTCTTTTGCTCTTTCAGAGGACCAATGAGATAATCATTTTGGGAGTTCCCTGCTTCCCTTCCAGTTGGGATGACCTACTTAGATTCTTTTGTAACCCTTGAAATGTTCAGAGCAAGAACAAAGCGTATGCAAAAGTGCATTTTGAACTCTCCGGGGTCACTGTGCACATGCTCTGCACTCAGTGTTTTGTGTTTTTTTTTTCTTTTCCAAAAAGAAAGGAGGAATCTATAGAATGATACTGTGTCGTTCTCCCAAAATAGCTGCCTCTCCATATTCTGAGAGTCCTCTATAGTATCTGATGCTTTGCAAACACAGAATTTGGAGTTGTAAATGCTTAATCTATGTAAAACTCATTTTTGTGAGATGCTTATGCATTTTGATAAAAAGCAACATAATGACCATATAAGGTATATGAGAGGAAAACACACAGAGCTCTTGTAGAATAACATATGAGAACTGGAGGGACTGTCCAGCTTCACATCTTACCTCCCTTGGTCTACAGGATTCATTTCACCATAAAAATAAATCTCCCTTCAATACGTATTTTCAGATGGATAGGGCTAAAAAGCAGATGAAGGAAGGGAAGTTAGGCAATTGCAACAGGACAAAAATGAGAAGAACAATCTGTTCAAAGGTAGAAAAAGGAAGAGAGGTAAGGAACAGTTCTCATTATTAAAGGGAACATTCTTAGCTCATTCTCATTATTTAAGGGAACATTTTTTAGCTCATCTCAGCGGCCATGAACGAATGGATCTCAAGCAAGGTGACAGCACCCAAAAATAAAACAAAGGAAAAAGTGCTTCTTGTACAAATGGTACCTACTAGTCTGCTTCCAACTTCTAATATGCTTCTGGCACTGTGTCTTCCACAGTGTCAAGCTGACTGTCAAAGAAATCCAGATGCATAGGTCGAATTCCTTACATGCTCTTAGTTAGGCTCCTGTCAGGCCAGCTTCTCACAACTACTCCTCTTCTCTCTGCCGTCTGCTCATACAGCACAGCAAGGTTTGCTGTCCTGGCATCCTGCGTCCTGTTCCCTTAATGTGTTGGGGAAAAAATTATCAGCTTGAAGAACACAGAGGTGCTTTCTAAGGATGGGTTCATATCGTCTTTCCTCAGAGCAGCATCAAAGCATGAAGCCACACAGTCAGTGTGCCGAGATAGAATTGGCAGGCTGCAAAAGTAAACGCATCCTGCTCCTGTACCTTGCTCTGCAAAGGCAGACGTCCAGGTGCAGCCTAACCAGGCAGGATGAACTCTGTGTGAACCAAGGGCGAGCGCTCTTCGGGCACCCAGAACCACACACAAAGAACCAGGCCGCAGAGCTGCATTTAAAAGGTGACATCCATGCACACAAATGCAGGGAGACTATGGATCTGTTAAAGCCGTTGATGGGGGAGAAACATATTCATGAATATTAATTTCAAGATACTTGCTCTGAGATGGAATTTACGCCTAGACTATACGGGAGTGTAATTTCCACAGGAAAGCAGTTGCATCATGCTGAGACAGCTCTCTCTTGCTTCAGGACATGAGAGTAAATTCAGGTGTAAATCATTTGTATCAACAAGCCCTGAGTGCAATTTCTCATCTCCACGCCAGTCAGCCCTGAGCCGCGCAAGCAGCACAGTTCCGTGAAAGAAGGCTGCCCAGACCCAAGGCCTCTCCCCTGTCACAAACCCTTCCTCCTAAAAGCCTCCTTCCCTCCTGGAGGCCAGCTGCCAGCTCCTCGCCCAAAAGGGAGACGGCTTATACACTTCCTGATGAGTGGGATGGGGAATTGTGCCTCTTCCCTGCAAAGCAGGCTCAGCCACCTCCCTCCCAGACACCGTGGCAGCCAGCCCAAGAGCCCCTGCGCAAAGCGCAGCGCCTAGAGCAGCGCCAACACGGAGCACCTTTCTCAGGGCACGGTGAGATGCCACGACCAGCAGACAGGGCCTCTTCGTCCAACACTGCCCAAATGCCCCTCGGCTTGCAGAAGGGCTGTGCACTTTCTCTGCTTCCTACAGCCTTGCACAACCTTTTCCAAATATACCTTGCTTTTTCATTATTTCATGTAGGTGGCACAGGAAGCTGACTTCTCAAAGCTCTTCTTCTTCTTCTTTCCCGCAGCAATTAACCTTTCTCCTTGTGAGTTTTGAATTTGAAACTAAAAGCCTCCCACATCAACTGAGAACCAGGGAAAAACTTCACTGCCTAGTTTTTCCGGATTTTATTGACCTCTTTCCAGCTGAAATAATCATAAGCTATTTCTGCAGTTGTGTTCTGTAAGCACAATGATATGAGCGATTTGGTCAAAAGGTTCCCAAAAACTTTAGACCGAAAGGCAAAACACTGAACAGCTTCAACTCAGCACTACTTCGTGTTTTGATTGTGGTTCGTCCAATGCGCTACAAGCAGCAAAACAACCTAAAATTTGGAAATGGTCTCGAAACCCATTTGCTGTATTGGAACAGTTAAATGCCAAATGGCAATTTCTGGAAGGCAACTTTTCCTTAGCAGCTAAGCAGGGAGGCTTTCTCACTCTGTCCTTGGTAGATGCAGTATTTGAAAGCAGCAGCACCTTGAAAAAAATTTCATAGAATATTGCTGTCCAAAAGAAGACCTGAAAAGACAGATCTCTAAAGCCACAGTTAGCTGCCTAAATACACAACACCGGCTTTTGGGAAGCCCTCAATCTCTGCAAATCCCTGAGAAGCTCAACTCGGCCT